GGAAACGTGCGATTCCTGTCCCTCATGACCTACTCTGCTCACACATCTTTGGTCCCGTGAGAGGTGCTAATGGTAGCCTGAAGCCAGGAAGGCCCTTGGAAAAACTGTCCAAAAAGCTCTCCCACAACAATTTTGAAAATATTACTCAATTCAGCATCCTAGGCCACCAAGGAGATAGGCTGGGTCTGCTGTCTAGGCCATTTGAATGCTGGTCAATGGCTGTGAAGAACAAAACTTTTTTTAAGTCTAAAAAGTTGTAAGTTGTTGTTGTTGTTTGTGTTGTGTCAGGCAATCAGACATGTCACAAAAAGCCAAAATCCACCTGTGAATTTTAATTACAAATCTATAAGGGCATAATAAAGAAGTGGAAAAGAAACTTAGAGTGCAAAGGACCACCTGTAAATTGTGAGACTCCTACAAGAGTCACTCAGAGCAGCTCAACACAGACTGCAGTGGAAATGCCTTTGGTGGACCACCTGTGGCTCCATGGGAAGAGAAAAGTAGGGTGGATGAGATGAGCTGAGCATTTGGCAAAAGAACAGTAAGGCAGATGCGTGAACCTCTGAACGCGCAACGATGAAATCTGTCTCATGTCTAGCAGTTCAAAAGCTCTATACTTCAGCAAAAGCCTATTTGAAGACACAGAGTCCTATTTCCATGGTACCTTTTTTGCCAGTTCAATCACTGTGGAGATTCGTAAGTGATTTTTGAGTTCCAACCTTGACCAACTAAACCAGAATCTCTAGGGGCAGAGCCTAAGAAAGTGTTCTGTTCAAAATCTCCTAGGGAAAAGAAAACTCTTTCCAAAAAATGGTGCTGGAACAACTGAATGCAAAAGAATAAAGTTGGATGCTCTACCTCACACCTTATAGAAAAACAAACTCAAAATGGACCACAGCCCTAAACATAAGAGCTAAAACTACAAAACTATTAGAAGAAAACAGAGTAAATCTTTGTGACCTTGAATTAGACAACAGTTTCTTAGATATAACACCAAAAGCACAAATCACCAAAGGAAGAAAAATAGATAAAACGGACTTCATCAAAATTTTAAACTTTTGTGCTTTAAAGGACCCTGTCAAAAACTGAAAGAGATACCCCCCTAGAACTGGAGAAAATATTTCTATATATTTACCTGATAAAGGACTATTCTCCAGAATATACAAAGAAATCTTGCAACCCAACAATAAAAAGATAAATGAACCAATTTTAAAAACGGGCGAAGGATCTGAATATTCTCCAAAGAAGATATACGAATAGCTAATAAGTACATGAAAAGATGCTCAACATCGTTAGTTATTAAAGAAGTGCAAAACCACAGTGAGATAGCACTTCACAACCACTAGAATGGCTACCATACAAAAAAGACTATTGTTATAACAAGTATTGTAAAGGATGTAGTGTAATTGAAACTCTCATACATTGCTGATGAAAGTTTCAAAATTGTGCAGTTGTTACGAAAGCTTGTACACAAATACTCAAAGCCGTATCATTCATAATAGCCCAAAAGTGAAATAACCCAAATGTCCATCCATAGATGAATAGATAAACAAAAGGTTTTTTAGCCATAAAATGCAATATTATTTATCCATAAAAAGGAATGGAGGACTGATACATGCTACAATGTAGATGAACCTTGAAAACATGCTGAGTAAAAGAAGCTAGACATAAAAGCCCAAGTATGATTCTGTTTATACGCCATGTCCAGAACAGATAAATCTGTGGAGCTATAAAGTAAATTAGGAGTTGCCAGGGATGAGGAGAGGGAGACATAGGGAGTGACTATTAATGGGTTTTCTTTTTGGGGTGATAAAAATATTCTGGGATTAGACAGCGGTGAGGTGTGAGTACACAGCCACCATCTCCTGCCCCAATATGCCGTACCTGGCCTGAAGGCTTCTGATTCCTTTCTTTGTTGTTCCCTGTGGAAAGCCATTGGCAGTGACGTCCAATGGCTGCTCAGGAACTGCACTCCAGCTGATGGCTATGAAAAGGTACGATTCTGGGGTTAAAACTGTTCAGTTTTCCATAAATTCCAAAAGTGTTTTAATAAAAATATTTCCCTGCCTCTGCAGACCAATGAGAGCTGGATATGATGTCAGACGTAATGATACTCGGCCTCCAGAGTACAGTAATATAAAGTGGTTCATGATTCATCATCATCATCACTGTAACAACTCACAGTCACTGAGCATTTATTATATACTAAACACACAGTAAATGAAACAGAATTTCTCATTTAATTCTCATAACTCTGATAAAGGATTTTCTTATCTGAAGATGAAAAAATTGAGGCTAAGAGAGGACACGTAGGTTGCCCAGGTTCACACAGAACATGAACTTGACCCAGTGTTGGTGTCTCCAAAGCCCACATTATTGACCATTTAGATAGTAAACTGCCTCCCCAGGCTGGGAGGATGCAGCCCCTTCCAGGCTACTCTACTGTCTGAGGACAAGTTACTCCAGGGCAAGAAGAACCTGGATCCCTTACCTGCTCCACAAGGAACAAGTCGGCCTGGGCCGTCAGCCCTTTTTGCCTGTACTGCACAGCGGCTCTGTTCAAACAATAAAGTTGACTGCTGTAGTTTCACTTCTTGAATTCCAAAGCCCTTGGGTAAAGCCAAGATATTCTGACACCTAATTGTGAGAGAAAATGCATTCGGTTTAGGCACACTCCTTGAGACAGTATCTAGGATTGCAGACAACATTACCATCCCTGTGCCTTGGTGGGAAGCGAAGGCCTTAAGAGGTATGTGGGTGGATGGGTGGATGAGTAGATGGATGGACGGATGGATGGATGGATTTGGAGGGGAGTACAGGAGGATGTGACAGAATAGAATCATATGAACCTTCTGGCTGGAGGAAGATCCCTTCCCATCACTCTGAAGTGATAACTATGATTTGAGTCACCTCTCCCCCGCCCCCCAGTGACTTCAGTAACACCAAATGCCATTCCTGATAGCGGTTTTGAAAAATTTGAAAACCTTAAGCAGGAATATTAACGAGGTGGCATTGGCTTCCTAGGAAATCCTTCAAAAACACCAGAAACCAAAATTACCCTATAATATAAAAGCTTCATGTTTTCTCTTGTATCTTTCACACGATCTAGATGCCTGAGCAGATAGGAACTTAAAGTCTCATAACAGAGAAAACATAGAAAACACAGAAAATATCTTGGGCACAGTGCCTAGGGTTGCTTTTTATTTTTTAATTTAATATCCTTATTGGAATATAGTTTATATGCCATAAAATTCATCCAAGTATAATTCAATGTATTTCTTAGTTTATTCATAAAATTTGCCACTCTCACCATATTCTAAATTTAAAATATTTTCATCATGCCCATAAGAAACTCTGCACCTATGGCAGTCGCTTCTCGCCCCTTTCCCCAGTCCCTGGCACCCACGAATCTACTTTCTGTCTCTATGGATTGCCTATTTCGGACATTTCACTACATGAAATCATATTTTATATTTGGCTTCTTTGACTTAGCATAAGGTTTTGAAGGTTCATCTGTGTGGCAGCGTGTCTCAGTCCTTCCTTCTTTTTGTGGCTGAGTGACATTCCATTGTATGGATATATCACCTTTTGTTTATCAATTCACCAGAGAATGGACATGTGGGTTGTTTCACTTTTCAGCTATTATGACAAATGCTGTACATGAACATTCATGTACAAGTTTTGTGTGGATGTATGTTTTCATTTCTCTTGGGCATGTACCCAGGAGTGGATTTAGAGGGTTATATCCTGGGGCTACTTCTTGGAGTTGCTTCAGGACAAGTAATTTGACACAGGCCCACAGGCTTCCCCTTGGCCATGGCTTCCTCCTGCCCTTCATACAGCATTCATCTGGTTTGGTTGAAAGTGACCTCACAGGCCAATCTGATCATAAATTCCTAACTGAGCAGGTCATGGTGGGTAGTCACGCCCCAGGCCTGTAACTTCTTTAGCAAAAGGTTTTAGGCCAGTCCTGCCCATTGTTCTTGTGCAGCTGGATTAACACACTTTTGAAATGCCAGAAGTAATACCCCTTTGAGGGGGGTATTAACCCTCAAGAGGGCACATAGTCTTGTTAACTATCATGTAATCCAATCCCAGCCTTGGTTTCTCCAATCTTCCTTATGTTCCCTCCTTAATTTCAAATGCATAAAAGAAGCTGTCAAACTCAAAAGCATTTGAGATCTTGCTCCTAGCATTTTTGTCAGTTTGGCTTCAATAAACTCATAAAAATTCTTTACCGGTTTGGATCTTTCTTATGCTAACACGTCTTTAAGGAGATCACACTTGAGCGGTCATCCTTTGTCTTTTACCTTTTTGAAAATTAACACTTAATGTTTGAGGTTTTAAAAAAATTTTAACAGCAATATATGTACACTGTAGGAAAATCAGAAAATAGAGTAATCGCAAAGAGAAAACTACCCACGACACCACAATTCAGAGATAACAATATAGATGCCTTTGTGTATATCGTCCTATGAATTTTTTTCTATGTGCATATGTAGAAAAAATTTTAAAACCAAAATGAACTCATTTTATCTTCTAAATTGCTCTTTAAACATTATAAGCATTTTACCATGTCAAACAGTCCTCAATATGAGTCAACAAAAATCACTTGATCTCTTACTGACAGCCATTTTAGTGTTTCCTTCTCTTTTTAAAAAATGACTACATAGAAAGCTAAATGTTTGAACACTTCCTCAATTATTTTCTTAAGACAAATCCTAGCAGTGGAACTGCTGGATCAAAGAGTCTGCATGTTTCTAAGGCTCTTTGGACAGACACACTCTCAGACGGCTTCTCGGAAATACTGTTCCCGTGGAGCCCGCCCCGCCCCGCCCTCTTACCTCCCAGTCAGTGCTCTCTGCATGGCTTCCTGGCTGTATGGACACTTTCCAATGACCACAGCTGACAGATAGATAGGCTCTTCTAGAAAATGCATCAACAATGCTCCTTGACATCCGAGGACATTCCATCGTGCCAACTTGTCACTGCAGGACATGGAGCAAGTCCTGTCCCCCCGGCCCGGCTTCACTCGGAACAGTCCCACCTGGTGATACGCAGCACCAGGCTTCCCCGAGTCTCCAGCTTCTCCAGGCACACACTTGGCTCCAGTTCTATAAACATCCACGACCTTGGCACCACCGGGGGCCATTCCACCAACAGCAGCCTGACTCTTTGAGGGGAGATTAGTGTTGCTAACATCTGGTGGGATTGGGCCACTTTCCTGACTGCCAAAACTCTGATGGTGAGCGGCACCATTGGCGACTTCTTTGGCAGGAATCCTGGGCTCGAGTCTCATCTTTTTGGTCATAGGACTGTCCGGGTCTTTACATTTCCTTTTATCTTCAGTAGCTTCGATGTTACCACTTGCTTCTACTGTTGGGTTATTGGCCCAATCTCTACTGACTGGACAGCAAGGCTGATCTTCAAACTCAAGCATTGGAATGATGGAGGCATCCCCACCTTCAGGAGAAGAAATCCTTTAAACCAGTTGTTCTCAAAGTGAGGCTCCCGGACCAGCCACATCAGCATCCCTTGGGAACTTGTTAGCAAGTTCTTGGGACCCATAGTAGACTTGATGCATCGGAAACTCTGGAGGTGGTATCCAGTAGCCTGTGTTCTAACAAGCTCTCCATGTGATTCTGATGCAAGCCCAGGTTTGGGAATCACTGCTATAAACAAAGCTTAATTCTATTCTCCCAGGTAACACGAGAAAAGAATACCTGCCCAAATTTCCCTTATAAGAATCCTCCAGGGCTCTTGTTGAAGATCCTCTTCTACATCTAGTGAGTTAGAATCTCTGAGTGGGGAGGAGTCTGGAAAACTAAATATTTGAACAAGGATCCCAGGTAATTCTTATCACAAGAAGTTTTGGAAACACTGGTTTAGATAAGGATTTCTCAATCTCTGCATTATTGATATTTTGGGCCAGATAATTCTTTGCTGCAGGGGTTCTGTCCTGTACATTATAGGGTGTTTAGCAGCCTCCCTGGTCTCTATCTATTAAATACCAACAGCACTCCCCAGTCTGACCAACAAAAATGTCTCCAGATGTTGCCAAATGTCCCCTGGGGAGCAAAATAGTCCTGAGTTGAGAACCACTGGTTTAGAGTAAGCACAGTTTGCCAAGTGCATTTTGTTGAATGTTGTCCGACAGGATGTCTTGGAAAACAAAAGTGAGTGGTTGACTTCATGGTTAAATAAGTTTGCCAAACAACACTCACAACTTCCCCATCTTTAGAGATTTATGTGCATATCCTCAGAGTAAAAACTCTGCAGTAAATTATACAGCTGGTGTTTCCTGATACTGGTTTAGAGATTTCTGTGTTTACAGGAACTCAAAGAAAACCAGAGTTTGGTAAAGAGCACAGCCTCTGCTTTAGAAGGGTGCGATTTCTTCAAACATTAACCTAATGTGTGTTGCTTTTCTAAAGCATGTGAATAATACATGTGTAGCCTTTATAACCAAAAAGTGGGAAAAGCGAGAGATGCAGAAGTGGGAGTGTTGCCAGAGAGGCTGGTGGCAGACTTCCAGAAACCTCACGAGGTGACAGTGACTTTGGAGAATTCACCAGGGCCCACCTCCTACTCTGCAGGCACAGGCTCAGAGATCTGACCTTGACAGATGCCCTAACTCAAGAGGCTGAGTCATGCTAATAAAACTCACAAAGAGGAGTCTGAAGTAGCTAAACCAAGCACCGGATTTATCAATTAGTAATGAGAAAGAAATGCCTAGAGATCCAGATAATCACATTCTCCAGGTAGTGTTCTTTCTGCGGACAAACCATGGGTGGACATCACATAAAATTTTTAAAAAATGAGCTAGAGCATTGTCACTGGTTGTGGCTACACTTCAGCCAGAAGTGTTTTTTTTTTTTTGAGAAACATATCTATGGATAAGACAAACATAAAGAAGCAGACTATGTAACATTAATCCAAAGGCTTGAGTACACTTACAGGGCGTATGGCTGGAGAAAAACACAAACAAGAGGTCTGGTCTGAGTTTCCACAGTCCCTTCTGAGTTCCTGGGACAAAGATGCTATCCTGCTTCAGTGTGGCTGCCAAGTGGAGCTGATGGAGAAGGTACCTAATGGGTGCAGGATGTTATCGGAATGAACACCAATCTTTGTGGTAAAGGGAAAGACTCTAGCTGAGTGATTACTAAGAGAGAAAGATTTACTACAAACCAATTGGACTGGCAGATTTGGAATTATGATACTGATCTACACTAGTGCTTCTCAAAGTGTTGTCCTTGAACCAGGAGCATCAGCATCATCTGGAATTTGTTAGAAATGCAGTTTCTCAGGCCCCATCCAGGACTTGCTGAATCAAAATCTCTGGGGGTGGGGGAGGCAACAATCTGGATTTTAACAAACTCTCTAGCTGATTGTAATGCACACTCCAGCACGAGAACCACTGTCTAGACCAGTGCTATTCAATGTGTAGGTCACAGGCCAACATAATCAGTTTTACTTGGGAGCTTATTAGAAATACAAATTCTGGGCCCCCCACTTCGGGCTAAATCAGATCCTCTGGGGATATGGCTTTACCTTTGGAAACTTCTTCTGGCTATGACTTCAGCATGGCTATCATTGAGGATGTCTCCTGTGGCAAAGACAGGTCACTAGTGAAGACATGCAGAATCTAGAGAGGCCTTGGTTCCTAGAAGCAGAACATAGCAATTTCCCCCAGTACCCAGGATGGCCATATAGCTCCTGGAGGGCTCTGCCAGGCAGAATCACAATCATTAATGGCAATGCATTTACAGCACGGTTTTTAACTCTGTACTATTGGCATTTGGGGTTGGAAAATTCTTTGTTATGGGGTTTTGTTCTGTACGTTGTAGGATGGTGAGCAACAATCTTGGCCTCTACTCACTAGAAGCCAGGAGTACACTCACCTCTTCCCAAGTTGTGACAACCAAAAATGTCTCCCGACATTGCCAAATGTCCCATGTCCCCTGGGAGACAAAATCTCCCCTGAGAACTACTGACTTATAGAGACATCTTTATCTGGAGGACAGCGATCCAGATCTTTTGTACCCTCGTACCACACTTGTGCTCGTTGTGATACAATTCCCTGGAACTCAATCCATGGTGGCCCTGGAACAGCTTCCTCATACACAGGAGGCAAGGCTAGGAGAACGAAGAGACGCAAACTCTGCTAACTCGAGAGATCTGGTGAAGATGCCAGATCTCTAAGGAATTTCCATATTCTTTTTCGTGCCAAAGTCTCCATTTAATTCAAGCTTTCTGGGGCTTCAGATGCAATGTGGGATAGCTAAGCCCAGGGAACTTCTTGTTTGAGCATGAAAATACTGGCCAACTTTCAATCTACCTAGAAATTGTATTCCTGGCAGTCTTTGCTTCCAGAGTTTATTCCCATTCTTTAAATGAGAGTGGCAGTCAGTGTTGACATGAAAGGTCAGCCACTTCAGTAATATAGCCCCTTCGCCCTGGAGAGGAGAGGAAAAAGCAACGTGGACACGGTTTCCTGGACAGGCACTATTTAGACCCCATTCAGACTCACCACTTTTCCTCATTTTGGACTGGCCTATGCATTTCGTTCCTGTTCCCATTGAGACAACTTCCTTTGTCACTGAGGGGAAAAGAACAAATTGTTAAGTCTGAGTGCTCGGAATCGGAATGGTCCCCAGTTCTCAGGTTTAATAAGTCTGCACATTCCTCCAGAGCATTCCCATAGGCTAACCCATCCGAGGACTACTGTTCCAGTACGGCCGCCTCCCACCGTCCGAAGTACTGCGCCATCTGGCGGAGAGCAGAGAACATGCCCCACATCACAGTTTATACCTGGCCACGACCGTCCCTGTAGAGCCATTTATAATTCTATCATCTCTGACAGGGAGAGGGGCCGTCCCAAGGAGAAAAAGTCTCACCTTGCATGGGTTTGTCAGGGCAGTCACAGGACTGCTCCGATATAGGCTGTATCTTCACCACAGCTGCTAGTAATGTCCACTCGCGGTTGGGTTCCGGCTTCCCCTGCTTGGGCAGCCTGATCTCATAGTGCTCATAACACAGACGTGCAATCTCATCCGCGGTCCACATGGTCTGAGTTGGTGCTGAAGCCCTGATCAAAAACCACGGCCATTAGAAGTACATAAAAGCAGCCAATGCAAGATGCTACACCCTCTCACCTGTGCTTCGACAGACTTTTGAAGGTAGCCCAACTGTGCTCATACCGAGGTTTCTCTATCTGGAACGCTCCGGGTCATTTTCTCCTACTATTTCCCCGGTCTTTTTCATCTTTAAGCAAAGATCAAAGAAGTCCCAAATCCCACAAACTCCAGAAGACATCCTATTTCTTTAAGTTGTTTTTAAATTTTTTTAATGTTCAGTATCTGACATGTTTATATTGAATCTGAACCTACTACTCAAAACGAAAACATATGAGAGGGAAGTAGCTTCGCTACTCCAGTTTTCATATGGAAATAGCACAGCTCGTAAACTGCTGCAGACCTCCGCTCGCTTGAGGCGGACTCTCACCAAACAAGGTTTATCTTTCCCAGGCAGATGTTCACTTTTCTGTCCTCTTTTTCAGGCATTTTATTTTTCTCTCCTTTCTCCCACAGCAGATCAGTTCTTTAGCTCCCGCTAGTGTATCTCCAATTTTCCCTAATAGGAAAGCAACCCTTCAATTTCTCTGATAGTTTTATGACTCAGAGGGAAGTGACAGCGCCCAGTGGTTTCCCACCAGTCAAGGGTTCTCATTGGGGTTGTGGAGAGCATGAGCTTTACAGATACCCTTTCTGGGTTCTAATTATGGCTTTGCTTATATTAACTGTGTAATATTGGGTAGGTTACTTAACCTCCCTGTGTCTGTTTCTTCATCTGTTAAAGTAAGGATTACAGGAGCATTTAATCCATAGGGTTATTGTGATGATTAAATAATATTTATAAAAATGAATTATTATAAAATTGAGCATAATTAATGTCAATTGTGATTAGTTTTACTAAAAGGAACCTTTGATTTTCCTGATTGATTTGCCTTGCACTCCTTGGGGAGAGGAGGGCTGTAAAGGGTACATAAAGCCATGAATAAAAACCATTCAGTAGATCAGATCTGAAAGAGGCCTAGGATACTTTGCTAGAAACTCTCCCACTCGTGACTGTTGACTCTTAAAAATGACCTCATTTGGACTCAAATGTATGAAAAGCTTGTTGGTAGAAAATGTGATCATATGGTAATGGACACAGTTAAAGTGTTTTAAAAAAAGGAAAAAGAAAGGCTTTACTGAGCCCCAATGCATGTAGCTTTTGAAAACCTTCTACAATGAGTCCCTACATTGTGTTTAATTAAACAAGGAGGCCATTAGACCAATGTGGCTCTAATGCTGTGATGCCCTGTGTAAGCAAACCAAGCTCTAAGCCTGTAAATGCCTCAAGGTGTGGATGAAAAAAGGGCCACACACTGCACCTGACAAATTCAGAGGCCTGTATGGCAGGGCCTTAAAAACTCAAAAGACTGAAAGTAACCATAGGATGGTCTGAACACAAAAATTCCTAACTAAAAGCGAGTCATGGAAGGTAGTCACGTCCTAGGCCCATAGCTTTCTTGACAAAGGTCAATCTTTACCTTAAGTGAACCTGTCTACTGTCTTTTTGCATCTAAGATAAAATACCTTTGTAATGTCAGAGTAATCTCCTTTCCAGATCTCTCAGGGCACAACTGGGGCACCAGAGCAGAGACCCCAGAAACCCTCATTGATGTCTTGTTCCCCTAATACCATCTCAAATGCTACACGTTATGACCTATCTTGTACCCACAATGTAAAAGAAGCATGTGTCTTTCCCTTTCACTTTTTAATCCAATCCCAGAGATTCCCCCACCCTGTTTTGCTTTCTCCCACCCACTTAATCTACACCAATGTACTTCATCCCTCCTTACGTCTCCTCCTTTTATTCCAACGTATAAAATAAGATGCAAAACTGCCATTCTTTGGAGCATTTTCTTAATTCCTTGAGCTTTTGCTTCCCAGCAATTGCTGTCAGTTTGGCTTAAACAAACTCATAAAAGTTTTCCACATGTTTGAGGGTTTCTTACCTTGACAAAGGTTACATTAAAACACTAAGGACAACCAATTACAGTCAATTCGGCTCTAAGCCATAGCCAATCAAATTATTTCCTTTCTTGCTTCTCTGCACGTCCTCCAAGTCTTTCCCCCAGCTCCTATCTGCAGACCGCTCCTAACCACTTCCGGTTTGATGCTGCCTGATTGGTATTGATTTTTGCTCAAATAAACAAAATTTTTAATATGCCTGTTTACTTTTTTTTTTTTTAACAGTTCAGATGTGCGGACCCGTTACTGCAGTAAATGGTCATGGAAAATCAGATCATATCGATTTAAAACAAGAATCTGGCAGGAACTGTCCTAAATTGTCAATTTACAGTCAGAGAACCAACGTAAGTTTTATATCTCTTGCAGCAAAAGAATGGGGAGCAAGTCAGCAGTAATGTAATGACTAGGTGTAGAGGAGAGAAAGTAATCAGGGAGAGCATTTCATAAACTATAAAAAATTACTAACTTTTTTTTTTTTAAGTATGGGAGATGCTAGAATTCTCTGTTTGGGAGGGCTATCACAGGGCAGTATATTTTATGAAGGTAGATACTCAGGGAATCAACTTGAAGCTCATCACACATCACAAACCATAAGTACCAAGGAAGACAGAACTTGCTAGAAGAAACGACGACTCCCTAAGATGAAGCATTCCAGAACTATATCATCACTTCACGTTACTTGAGTCTGGATGAGCACGCACAATAGTTGAATTGAATAAATGTTTAATCTACGGTGTCCGCTAAAATTCACACCCAGTCTCTTCTAGATGGTGAACAGCTTCTTCCTATGAAACAATAGCTCAGTTAAACAAGCATTTCTTAGTCCACAAGACGGCTTGTTATGACCGTTGCAAAATGCTTAAGAACCCACTTCCTTTTCAAATAAAAGTTAACGCAGGTCGGCAGCCAGGTGAGAAATTTAAGCAATGCTGGGAGGAAGGTAAGCCTACTTCCCTTAGGCCTCCTCTTCGATAACTTCGGAAGCCGACCATCTTCCCTGCCGGCTCTTAGAGGCCGGGGCTGGGGCCCATTCGGCCAGTTACAGAAGAGACGCCAGGCCCTTGAAGCTGGGACCACGTGCGCGCCCGCCTCCTTGGATTATGCGGGAGGTGGCTGCTATGCTACACGCCCCGCGCTCGCCCGCAGCAAAAGCTCTACTGGCGGATACCCGCATTTCCACGAAAGGAGCCGCACTTGTCCACGTGACGCGTATGCGGGGGAGGCACGGTCCTTACAACCTCTTCCCACACAAAATGGCCTCGGGAAACTCTACCCTAGGACATCTCACCCAGGAGCCGCAGGGCCCCCTTCATTCGCGCGCCCCCGGTCTCCTGATCCCAGCGCTTTACGGACGCTCCCTCCCTCCTCCACCACGAGCGCCCTCGGAAGGAGCAGGCAGGACTCGCGCTGCGCAGCGGTCATGACGACACGAGGAGGCGGTCCTCTGAGGCCCCGTCCCCAGAAGGGCGCAGTGCATGCTGGCCCTTGTAGTGCGTCAGGGGGGCGTGGTGCTAGTGCTTATCCAGCGGCTCGCGGGGCTGTGCGTAGGTACCAGTGAAAACAGATGATGGACGCTTACATCCGGTAAGATATGGTTCAAATAATAGCATGATGTCATGTCTTAGAACACTAGGCTGACTTTCTGTCTAAAATAGCGCCGTCCAAGAGAAATATGATTTGAGCTAGATATGTAATTTAAAATTTTCTGGTAGGTACATTTTAAAAAGTCAAATGAAATACATGAAATTAATTTTAATCATATATTTTACTTAACCCAGTATATCCAAAGTATTCGTTTCAACATGTAATTAATGTTAAAAAATGAGATATTTTACATGCTTTTTTTTTTGGTGCATACCAAGTCTAAGAAATGTGGTGTACATTTTACACTTATCATACGCCTTAATTCAAACCAGCCACATTTCAAATGCTCAATAGCCACATGTGGCTAATCGAAAACCTTCAGATTGCCAGGAATAGGTAGTATAGTTGGGTCGTTCAGGAGCGTGTACAATCCCACAATTGTATACCTCAATTCCTAAAGACGAATTTTTGTTATTACCCCTTCAAAGTTAGACAGAAGTGCAATTTATTTGATCCTATTCTTCACTTTAGTTCAGAGGAAAAGGGCCAGAGGCTTTCTCTAAGGTTAAGGACCCTGTTCCTTATTTGTCTCTCCAACATCTTTAATCTGCAACTGACTCCCCTCTTGTTTTTAAAGAAGTACTAATTCTGGTGGGGGATTCATCTTACAGGGTTTTCTCGGGGATTGGTACCACCATCAATCTATTTCCATGAATTAAAAAAGTGAGTTACCCTTCTTGTCATTTCCTTTTCCTTAACCCTTACAATGCAATCTGCTGCTTTTTCATGCCCAGCTTCTTTTTCTCAGGGAAGCCAGACTGATGTTTTCAAGATGTAAATGAGATGTCACTCCCCTGCTTAAATACTTTAGTGGCTTTCCAGCATTCTTTTCTAAAAATCTATTTTTCAATTATAGTTGACATACAATATTCGTTTCAGGTATACAATATAGTGATTAGACAATTACATACCTAATGAAGTGATCATTACCACGATAAGTGTAGTACCCATCCAGCACTCTTAAAATACAAAATCCTGTAGCAGGGCTCACAGTCCTGCATTACCAGCCAGCCCCCTTTTGCCTCATCTAGTGGCATTATTTCTTTGGGTTTCTGTCATCTTCCTTCAGATTTCAGATCTAATGTCCTCAGGGAAACTTTCCTTAACGAAGTAGATCTGTTAGTTTCTCAGCAGATCTCGCCTTCGAACAAAGCATTTACCAGAGCCGCCATTTTATACATTTTTAGTTTATTGTTTATTTTCCTTACAAGTCTAGAAGCTTGATGAAACTTGGGACCAAGCCTTTCTGTTCATTTCAGTACAGCAGTTAGTAAATTGTAAACCTTCTACTGTTATAAGTAGGTAATGAGCACTCTATAATCCTTCTAGTTCTTCTAACTTTCATCCGATTTGTCGCTTTTCCTGCCAACCCCCCAAACAGGTTGTCTACCTCTGCTTCAGTTGGTCTCTAACCCCAGTCCTAGAGGCCAGAGAATTGGCTTCTATCCCCAGCCCGCTACTAAACAACTCTTTAATGGTCACCCGTGGCCTTGTTAATCCTCATTGCCTTTTCCAATGGTCCACATTGATAGTACAGTGTTGCCTCAAGTCCAGGCTTTTATCTTGACCCTGTTCCCTCTCCCTTGGTGAGATGACTGTTTTCATTTTACTTAAAACCACTTTGCTGAAAGATGTGCCATGTGGAAATGTTTCTTCTGAAATACCACTTGGTCACCTGCTATCACTGCCAAGTACTCCTGGAACTAAGAAACTGCAAGGTGGGGAGATGCTCAACAGTCTCTGAAGAAGTTTCCAGTTAGTTAATTCTGCACACTTAGATCATTTTTTCATTTATGGAAGTAGAAACTTGCAGATATTTTGCTGAGCTGCAAGTCAAGTCCTTTGTTGTATGACTCTGGTAAAAAGTCCCCCAGCTGCTTGAGGAAGCAGGGGACTCCATCATCACAGCAAGCCCTCAGTCGTACTGTCATTCTCAGCCCTGTTGAATCGAGCTGAAAATACTATTCCTACCTGATGTCTTACAGGCATGTCAAACTTAGTATGTACAAAACCAAATGCTCAACCTGCCCTTCCTCAATTTTTTCCATCTTAGTAAATTGATGACAACTCTACAGTTGTTCAGGCCCAAAACCTTGAAATCATTTATCGAAAATATTAGGGTGGTTCCTGACTCGATTCATGGTGCTTTGTGTGTTCCTTCCTTCTGGAGCATCCTTCTGTAAGCCTTGCTTTTTCCTGCTGTGGGCTGAGCGCCCAATGGAGCAGCCCACACACTCTACCGTTTGTGCATGGCTGAAGACGGTGATTTTATAGCATCCTGGGCACTTCACGTCCATGAAGTAGGAGTTGGGGCTCTGCACTGGGCACTTGTTTCCTCTTTTCTTCTGGAGAGGGATGGAGAAGGTCCTTAGCAAGAGGCATGTTGTTGCAGGGAGGTCCTCACCACTATAAAGGTTGAAATCATTTTTGCCTTCTCTTTTTATCACAACCCACACTCCATCAGCAAATTCTGCTGACCTCAGGAACACAGGCAGAGTCCAAAGACATAACCATCTCCATTAAACCACTGAAGTCTAAGCCATCATCTCTGCAGCCCACTGCCATAGGGTCGGTGGTCTTCCTACTTTCACTCTTGCCCTCCACATGCTAACTAGAATATTTTAAAAACACTCTGCTCAAAACTCTCCAATGGCTTTCCAGCTCACTCATAGAATACTCCTCGGCATGGCTTAGGGGGGGCCTGTGTGAAAAGGCTCCTCACTGACCTTCATTCACTTGTCAGCCACACAAGAACCTTTGCTGTTCCTCAAAAATGTGGTCCTCTAGTCCTATAACTTGCCCTTTTTGTCTCCGATCTCCACTTAAATGTTACCTAGAAGTCTTCCCCGATCATATATTTAAAATAGAACTGTCCCCACCAACCTTGTAGAAAAGTACCTGTCTCCTTACTCTGCTTTTTCTTTAGTACGTACCACTACTGGACATAATATGTTATTTGTTTCTTGCTTGTCTGCTCATCTCCATCCTTAAAGAAAGAATGTATGTCTTTAAAAGCAGGGACTTGGCTTTTGTGGTCACTGCTGTGTCTCTAACCCCTTAGAACAATGCCTGGCATGTAGCAGACATTAATATAAATTTATTGAATAAAGTGGTA